CTTTTTAACCTCAGGAAATCTTGCCCAAAGGAGATTTTGCCTCTCCCCTCTATACTCTTTTTACCTAAGGAAATCTGCCCATAGACATTTCTTTCACATTTTTCTGTGTATAGATTTTTCACCTCAGGAAAACCTGCCCAGTAAAAAATTTCTCTCATATTTTCCCTATATAGCCTTTTTCCTCAGAAAAACATCCCCAAAAGACATTTTCCTCAGGAATCTTCCCTATATAGTCTTTTTACCTCAAAAAAACTTGCCCAAAAGACATTTTTCCTCAGGAAATTTCCCTATATAGTCTTTTCACCTCAAAAAAACTTGCCCAAAAGACATTTTTCCTCAGAATTTTCTTTACATACAAAAGTAATTTTCTTTACTTGTTATCTCAGGAAATCTTGCCCAAGGGAATTTTCTCCTTAGGATTTTCCCTGTGTACTCCTTTTACCTCAGGAAAACTTGCCCAACAGACAGTTCTCAAAATTGTCCCTATGTAGTCCTTGTACCTCAGGAAAACATGTCCAATGGATATTACTTTCAGATCTGGCCCTATATAGAGTTTTCACCTCAGGAAAACTTGCCCAAAAGAAAAATTTCCTCAGATTTTCCCTATATACTCTTTTCACCTCAGAAAATCTTGCCCAAAAGAAATTTTTCCTCAGAATTTTTCTCCACAGTCTTTTTACCTCAGGAAATATTGCCCAGAAGATATTTCTCCTCAGGATGTTCCCTGTATACCCTTCTTACATCAGGAAAACATGCCCAACAGACATTTCTTTCTGATTTGGCCCTATGTAGATTTTTCACCTCAGGAAATCTTGTCCAATAGAAAATTTTTCCTCAGATTTTGCCTATATAGTCCTTTTACCTCAGAAAAAATCCCCAAATGACATTTTCCCTCAGGAATCTTCACTATATAGTCTTTTCACCTCAGTAAAACTTGCCCAATAGACATTTCTTTCAGATTTTGCCCTACATAGATTTTTTTACTGCAGGAAATTTGCCCAAAATAAATTTTTCCTCAGATATTCCCTATCTAGTCCTTTTACCTCAGAAAAACATCCCCAAAAGACATTTTTCCTCAGGAATCTTCTGTATATAGTCTTTTCCACAGAAAAACTTGCCCAAAAGAATTTTTTTCTCAGAATTTTTCTTTACATACACTTTTTACTTCTGGAAATCTTGCCCAAAGGAGATTTCTCCTCAGTATTTTCCCTGTATACTCTTTTACCTCAGGAAAACATGCCCAATAGATATTTCTTTCAGATTTGGCCCTATGTAGATTTTTTTAAAATAAATTTTATTTTTATATTCCCCATGCAATTGCAATCCCCTTATTTTGACCCAATCCCTCCCCTCCCTGCCCCCCACCCCCCATAGAGTGTCTCTGGTTCATAGTTTTTTGTTGATTTTGATTTTCACTTTCTTATAGCTATTCATTTTCCTGGTCCCTTATTTAAGTTTTCTAGATTCCTGCTCTGAGTGAGACCTATGTAGATTTTTCACCTCAGGAAAACTTGCCCAAAAGAAAGTTTTACTCATATCTTCCCTATGTAGTCTTTTCACCTCAGAAAAACTTGCCTAAAAGATTTTTTTCTTGGAATTTTTCTTTACATAGTTTTTTTACTTCAGGAAATCTTGCCCCAAATATAATTCTCCTCAGGATATTTCTCTATGTAGTATTTTCATCTCAGGAAAACTTATCCCAAACACAATTTTCCCCAGATTTTGCCCTATATAGTCTTTTTAGTTCAGGAAAAGTTGCCCAAAAAACAATTCTCCTAAGCATTAATCCTATGTAGTCTTTTTCCTCAGGAATGTATGCACAAAGGACATTTCTCCTCAGATTTTGCCCTATATGATCTTTTCACCTCAGGAAAACTTGCCCGAAAGACATTTCTCCTCAGTCTTTGCCCTCTAAAGACTTTCCTGCTTGGATAAAACATGCCCCAAGGACATTTCTCCTCAGATTTTGTTGTACATACTCTTTTGACTCAGGAAATATCCCTAGAGACTTTTCAGACATTTCTCTATATAGACATTTCTCTTCAGGAAAGCGTGCCCCAAAGGTTTTTCTCCTGGGTTTTCCCTACATAGTCTTTTTACCTCAGGAAAACTTGCCCAAAAGACATTTCCCCTCAGAAGTTCCTCCACATAGACTTTTTTCTTCAAAACTGTGCCCAAAACATTTTTCTCCTCAAAATTTTCCCTATGTAGATAGACTTTTCTCCTCAGAAACACCCAAAAGATATTTCTCCTCTTATTTTGCCTTCAATGTTCATGTCAGTTCATAAAATCTTGGCCCCAAGAGCTTTCTCCTCAGGTTTTAATTATATAGATTTTTTTTCACTTCAGGAAAATGTGCCCAAAAGATTTTTCTCCTTAGAATTTTCCCTGTATAGACTTTTTTCTTTTTTTTTTTAATTAAACTTTTTTTTTTTTAATAGAGGCATGTTTTATTTATTTATTTGTTTGTTTGTTTGTTTACACATGCACTGGGTACAGTCAGAAGCGCGGGAGGGTGAGAGAATTCACCAGAGCCAGAGCGGGGAGCAGAGCAGGCAGAAGGACCGAAGTACACTGCTGAGGGGAGCAGCGGGCGGCAGGAGAGGTCTGCACGCCATGTGGGACCCTCCTCCGGTGGCCGGGGAGCAGCCGGGGATTGAACCGGTGCCGCAGAGGCCGCGGGTAGCTTCGCAGCCCAGCGCTCAACCGCTGCGCCACCGGGGAGGCCCCTAGACTTTTTTTCTTATGAAAAATATGCTCATGAGTCAATCCTCCTCAGAATTGCCCTAAATCGAAGTTTCACATTAGGAAAAAATTGCCCAAAAGAATTTGTTTCTCAGTTTTTGCTCTATATGTCCTTTTCACCTCAGGAAAGTGTGCCCAAAGGACATTTCTCCTCAGAATTCTCCTATATAGACTTTCTCCTCAGGAAAATTGTGCCCAGAGACTTTTTTCCCCAGATTTTGCCCTATTTAGAATTTCACCTTAGGAAAACATACATGAAAGATTTTTTTCCTCACAACTTTCCCTGTATATACTTTTCTCTCCAGAAAAATGTAACCCAAAGATATTTCTCCTCAGATTTTGCCCTTTATAGTGTATTCACCTCAGGATAAATGTACCCAGAAGATTTTTCTACCCAGAGTTTTACCTAGACAGAATTTTCTTCTCAGGAAAAACACACCCAAAATATTTTTTTTTCCCTCAGAATTTTCCCTATATGGACTTTTATCCTCAGGAAAAACATGCAGAAGACATTTTCCCTCAGATATTGCATCATATAGATTTTTCTCCTCAGAAAAACTTGCTCATAGGACATATCTTCTCAGAATTTTCCATGTATAGACTTTTCTTCTTTTGAAAAAAAAAAACAAAAAAGCGCCCGAAGGACATGTTTTTTTTTTTTTTTAAGACCCATCCATCTATGCATACAAAAGCTGGGGTACAAGCCAGAGATGAGGGGGGTGAGAGGACCCACCAGAGACAGAGTGGGGAGCAGAATAGGCAGATCCACCAAAACATACCGTGGAGGTTAGCAGCGGGTGAGAAAGGGGAGGTCTGCTGCACCATGTGGGCCACCTACCTGGCGGGGATCAAACTTGTGCTGTAGTGGCTGCAGACAACTTCATAATGCTGCGTCTCAACCCCTTGCGCCACCAGGGAGGGCCCCCAAAGGACATTTCTCCTCAGATTTTGCCCTATGTTTTCACCTCAGGAAAATGTGCCCAAAAGACATTTCCTCATATTTTTACTATCTAGAGTCTTCTCCACAGGAAAAATGAGACTAAAAATTTTTCTCCTTAGATTTTCCTATGAAGTATTTTTTCCTCATGGAAAATGTGCTGTAAAGATATTTCTCTTCCAGTTTTTAACCCAAATCAAATTTTCTTCTGAAAACTTTGCTCATAATATTTTTCTCCTCGTATTTTGTCCTATAATTTCTTTTCTCTTTAGAATACTTGTACCTGGGAGACTTTTCTTCTGAGTTTTCCTCTATACTGACTTTTATCCTTAGAAACCATGTTTCCCAAAGGCATTTCTCCTCAGCTTTTTCTCTCAGTATACCTTCTCCCATTCTTGGCACTGTTACGTCATCTTATGTAAACGTCACTGGAATTTACTGCCTTTCGTCACTGGAGGTATTCATATTAAAGTGAACTTAGACACGATTCAATATTCACTTTGATCCAGTCCTTTCTTGAGCTCTTTCTACATGTTTACTCATCTAATTTTCACAACTAAATTGCCAAGTCTTTATTCGTCATGGCCCAGTAATTAGCATCACCTCCTGTCCTCTCTTCTCTGCCCACTTCACTCCAACTTTCTTTTCATTGATCATGCACGCTGACTTCATACCTGCCCCTGGCTATCTTTGTATGCTTCCTCTCCGTCCTAATTCCTGTGCTCTCACCTCCTCTGAGGGGGCTGCCCTGACCTTCCACCTTATCAAAAGCACCTCTTCGACCCTTTACTTCTCTTCATAGCCATTCTCTACCTGACATTCTGTCATGATACTGGCTTTTTATGCCTCTGCCCCACAGGGATGTCAGCTCCATGATGGCAGGAATTTGGTCTCACTGCTATTTCTTCCTCCCACACAACAGTGGGAATGCAGTCAGCATTCGACTCTGATCAAAGAGTTCTGCTGGGTTAGAACTGCTGTCATCTCGCTTCACAGACAGGAATGTAAGTCACTCAGGTGACAAACAGTGGAGATGGGATTCCACTGGAGCCGTGCAGTGTCAAGCTTGGACCGGGATCTGCTGGATTCTTGGATCACTTAGCTTCTACTACCACAAAGCTTTGTCGCAAGCCTGCCCACACTCAGTCGCATTTCCTTAGCTCATCAGTTTGTGGGTGGGCAATTTGGGTTGGTTCTCCTGGACTCAGGGGTGCTTGCTCTTATGTCTGGGGGTTTGCTGTCACCTGATCTGACTGGGAGACTTGGTTTCACCCACCTTGGTGTTTGTCTCCTTCCTCTAGGCTGGTTCAGGCTCGTCCTCACAGGCCTGCAAAGGTACAGGCGGAAATCTGCAAGACCTCTCGTTTGAGACCTCGACTTGAAACGGGCACTCGGTCCCTTCTGCTTCATGGTGTGGGTGAGAGCAAGTCACATTGTCCAGTCGGAGTCACAAAGCCATGAAGGAACATGGTAAAGTGCCCGGGACAGGGAGGGGTGAAGAAGTGGGGGTGGCAGTGCCATCAGCCTCTGTTCTCATTGACTCAATGGCCGTGGGCTCTGCTTCTGGGCAGTGGAAGTCAGAGGCCACTTGCAAGAGGACCTCGGGGAGTTCGCTCCTAGGGCTTCTTGGGAGGAAACACTCTGGCTCTGGGTATACCAGGTTTGCTGAGGGAGAAGGAAACTCGGTGGAGAGGATGGCCGAACAAAGAAGTTGTTATGTCTGCATTTCTTGTCTGGGCGTGGTTGTCTAGAGGAACTGGCAGGAAGCTTCGAAGGCATCCACCTTTGCTGGTTGTTGAGTGAATGCCTTGGCATTATTTGATCTTCGTCACTGTATTACCTGTTCCGGGGATTTTAATCCTGGTGGATTAATTTAGCTCTCTGTATCTACCTATCTGTTTATCGATCTACCTCCCTATCATCTATGGCTCTGCCCCTTCTCATCAATTACATATTAATACATTTTTGCCTTTAGCTCAATTAAGCATTTGTTTGTAAAATATGGGTGCAGATGAGGACTCATGCAACCCGAGGTCTTCTGTGTTCATTTCAGATCTTTTCTCACAGTTCTGTGGAAGCTTTTGGCCTCATAAACCTGACTCCATACTGACTCCATGCTTAGCCACTTAAGCGCCACAACAACTCTGTAAAGCCAAAACTATGATTATTCCATTTTATAAGGGGGAGAAATCTAAGTGGTTGGCACAAGCCAATTTCCCAGGACTTTTGCTGCTTGTAAAAACCGCTGGACATGGATGAATGTAGAATCTTTCTGGGTAAAGCAAGGCTGCTTGGGCTGTCATCAGCAAATTAGATAGCTGTCTGGGCACAGAGGCCTGAGGCAGGGCTCAGCACATGCACGCTCCCCAGCACCCAGCCTGTGGAATGGAGGGACTGTCTCTGTCATTATTACAGTAACTATGGGTGTGGGTTTGTTCCCAGTTCCTGGTCTCCCTCAGTGGCCTCCCTGTCCTCAGGGCTCACAAGCATGGAGAAGCTCAAGTCTGTAATAATAGTGGGGTTTTTACAGCTAATCTGGTCAATCCAAAATGTGGGTACATGTACCTTCAAACCTCCCAGTGAGTTGTCACTAAGGACCTTGTGAATTTTTCCCTCATGGAGGCCATAATGGGAAAGCTTTATCATCCCTCAGGTATGTTTGGAGCATTCACTAACTTCCCTGTGTTTTACCAGTCAGAACGTAATACCTTCCCTTCCTGCCGTGAATAGCTTCTTTATTTTTATTAAAAGTTTGTTATTGTAAGATTGGTTTATAACATCCTTTAGGATTCATGTAGGTTTCAAATTGTTTTTTAATGTTAAAGCTTTTTGTGATGAAACAATAGGTTTGTTTGATTCAACAAACAAAAAATAGACAAATTTTGCAACAATAATGTCAGTCAAAGCGGCGGTGACCTTAAAAGTCCAGCAACACATTCAAGGATGGGCACTCCCGACAAAGGCGGCTGATTTTACCATTCTTTCACCTTATCATATTTCAGAACAGCCAGCTACCTTCTTTCTCTATAGTTATTTTTCTTGGAAGTGTTGTATGAATCCTTTTGAATGGTGTAGTCAGACAAAATTCCTTCATCTTCCAGTTGCTTACCAGCAAAGACCAGTCTTTGCTGATCAGGAGGAATTTCTTCCTCATCCTGGATCTTGGACTTACATTTTCTATTGCATCCAAGGGTTCCTTGAAAGTGACAGTCTTTCCCATGAGGGTTTCAACAAAAATCTGCATCTGGGTGGTGGTGTCTCCGCCGATGGCAGACCACAAATGTTGATTTTAAATCAGCTTCTGTGTATACTACCTGATGTATGGCTCCAGAATTTTCATTTCCATCCATCATATACAGTTGACCTTCTTTACCCAATAAACCTACTTCCTTCCCCTTATTCCATTCAGGTAACCACTCTTTTTGCTCTTATAACCTAAACTTTTGTTTTTGTTTTATTTAGTTCATTCACTTTGATTTCTTTTTTTTTTTTTTAAAGATTTATTTATTTATTTATACAAGAACCGGGGTACAGGCCGGATTCGCAGGAGGGTGAGAGGATTCCCCAGAGACAGAGCGGGGAACAGAACAGGCAGACTGACGAAATACACTGCTGAGGGGAGCAGCGGGCGAGACAGGAGAGGTCTGCTGTACCAGGTGGGGCCCTCGCTGGCCAGCCAGGATCAAACAGGCGCTGCAGAGTCTGCGGACAGCTTCACAGCACTGCATTCAACCATCTGCGCCACCAGGGGAGGCCCACTTTGATTTCTTGACCCACCACAAATGAGTGCAATCTTACGGTGTATGTCTCTCCCCATCTGATGGTGCGCCATTTCACTGAGCATGGTCCCCTCTAGCTCCATCCAGGTTGCTGCAAGTGACAGGGTTTCATCTTGTTTTTAGTTGCTAAGTGGCGTTGCCTGGCCAATCTGCACTACATCTTCTTTAAGCTCTGGTCTGTCAACGGGCACTTTGGTTATCTCCAACTCTTGGCGATTGTGAACACCGTAACGTGTGTATCTCTTTAAACTGGTGTTTTGTATTCTTGGGGTAAATATCAGAAAAAGGAAACTGGATCATATGTTATTTCGGTTCCTGATATTTGACAGAAGTCAGTGTTTGTAATCTTTGTTCTCTGTGAAGTGGGAGATAACCTGGTTCCTCAGAGATATTATTCTGGCACAGAGCAAAATCTCTTGGTGAAATGTTTGTCTGCAGTGTTGAAGTCCCTCCCCTGCTCTCCCCATGCCCACCACTGTGTCCCTGAGGGCTTCTCCAGCACCGACCATCCACCAGACCAGCAACTGTCACTCCAGCTACTATGTCTATTATCATGTCTTCTCTGGCCTGGTCCTCCTGCCCCCTCTTAGAGGGCCTTTCCTTACAAAGATCCAGAATCTCCCCCATCTCTTTACTAAATCACATCTGCAAGGTCCCTTTTCTCATGGAAGGTCATGGGTCCTGCACATGAAGCTATGGAAGTTCTTGGGGGGGGGGACATTATTCTGTCACACTGAGATACACAGCTTTGGCACCTACAGAAAGACTCTTTAAAGTCACTGGACCACAGATGTAGACCAGCACTGGCTGGTAGCTCTGAGAGGGCCATCAGATTCTAGAAAAGACCATAGAAGCCAGAATGGTACCTGGCATCTCCAGCTCAGTCAGGCTCCCCTTACCTAATTGGCCCACAAAGAGGTGGCAGGGCAGGTCTTCTACGGTGGCTACAGAGATTTTCTCTCTTAACATGAAGTCAGATAATGACTTCGAGGTCTTTTTTCTATGCCGGTGATGTTCAAAGAGTTTCTTGAGGTTTTAACTTCAACTAACAACAGCAACAACCACCACCACCAATCCACCACAAGGTTTGTTATTACTAATATTATTATGTTTCTTTCAACAAATATATTTATGTATTCAATTTTTTGGTAACATTGCTATTATTGAAGTAACATTGTTAGTATTATTTTACACTGTACTGATGCTGATACTGACCATAGATAGCTAAGGAACATACCCAAGGTCACACAGCTAGAAAATGGCAGAACTGGGATTCAAGCCCTATCTTGTTCCCGAACGTCATTCTTGCCCCAGGCGCCCACGCTCCATTTTCAGACACAACCCCTTCTCCTCCAGAGACACTTCCCTGCAGTAAAGTCATCTTTGGCTGGTTTTCCCAGAGGACTTGGCCAAAGAGTTTTGAGGGCCGGGAGAGAGCCACCTTGTGGTGGGAGAGGAAATCTGTGAACCTTGACTTTTTTTTTAAAGATTTATTTATTTATGCAAACAAGAGCTGGGGTACAGGCCAGAGATACAGGGGCATGAGAGGATTCACCAGAGACAGAGTGGGGAACAGAACAGGCAGACTGACTGAAATACACTGCTGAGGGGAGCAGCGGGCGAGACAGGAGAGGTCTGCTTCACCATGTGCGTTGCTCCCTGGCCAGCCAGGGATCGAACTCATGCTGCAGAGGCTGCAGATTGCAGTGCTTATTCCCTTGCGCCACCAGGGAGGCCATGGACTCTGTTCTTTATCCCTGTCCTCTACCTGGACAGGACTAACATACTAGTTGTGTATTCTATTCTATTTTATTAAAATTTTTTAATATGGGGTATAATGGAGCACAAAAGTGTACAAATTGATGAATTTGTATATGTATATGCAATCAGCTCTTGAACAACATGGTTTTGAACTGTGTGGTCCACTTATATGCAGGGTTTTTTTTTTTTTAGTCCAGTGCTGAAATGTAGTTTCTCGTCCTTATGGTTTTCTTAATAGCACTTACTTTTCTCTAGCTAATTGTACTAACAATACAATATAGAATACGTAAAATATATCCAAAATGTGTACCTCAGCTGTTTATGTTACTGGTAAGGTTTCTGGTCAACAGAGCACTGTTGTTAAGAGTCAAATTTTGGGGACGTCAGTAGTTATATGTGGATTTTTGACTGCTGGGGGTCGACGCTCCTAACCTCTACATTGTTCAAGGGTCAACCAGACATTCATGTAACCATTGCGCATGTCAAGATATAGAACATTCTAGATGGTTCTCTTGCACTCCATTCCAGTCAGTACTACTCCGAGGTCACCACTGCCTGATTTCTCTCATCATGAGTTTGATTGACCCATTTCTGACATTTATAAAAAAGGAGTCATGCAATTATATACTCTTTTATCACTCAGTCAACATTATCAAATTCAGCGATGTTGTTGTATATAGCAGTATTGTTTGTTTTTTAATTGCTGGGAAACGTTTTGTTTCAGGAATAGACCACATTTATTTGCCGAAGTCTACTGTTGATGGACATTTTGGGACTGTTTCTGTCTGCAGTGAGCATTCTTATTACATTGATATAGGTGATCATTTTTCTTGGGAATAGACCCAAATGTGGAATAGATAGGTCATAGTATATTGATCAATAAATACATTTATTCTTAGGAAGTACTGCCAAACATTTTTGCCAAAGTGC